AGCCATTATATTATATTTATGGCAGGGCTACATTGCGGTCTCTGGCAGGAGCCAGAGTAGAGCTTCAAATAACGAAAAATTGCATCCCACAAGGAAATGACTAGATTTAAAAAAAAGTATGTAGCACTGAGTTTCCCGTGTGTTTATATGTATCGAGATGATGTTTTAATGTGGTTTACATGTATTAGAGAGGTATTTTAAGAGGGTGGGTACATTTAGTGTTCTTCTGTTCCTGTGTTTTTCGTGCGTAGTCTGCGTTGTATTTTACATTGGGGTCTTTTAGCTATGTTTTCTTTTTAAATTATTGTATTATCCTAAACCGATTAGTGATTAGAAAGGATTATCATCACAGCACTCCGGACAGATCCATAGGTGCTCCGATCTCCTCCTCAAAAGCTCCGAGATTAACCTTTATTTTGTCTGTCCACTATTATCTTAATACTGATATGTTCTGTGTTTTTTTTGTTTTTATTATAGTACTTTGTCTGTGAACAAAGCAAGTATATCCCTATCAGATCGTTTGCTCCCGCACCTAAACAATGGTTTTTGCTCCTGTGGGACATAATTCGCTGGTCTATGATCGCTGCCTGCTAACTGACCTAGTTAAAATGCGATAAGTTTTGTGGAGACTATCTCATGTGCAGAAGACTAAGTCAGAGGCAGAAGTATTACATCATCTTCTTAAATGGCGGTTAGAGTCTATATCCCAGTCCTCCGCCTTATCTTCTCTGGTGTCAGTATCTATATATACCTATTTACCTGAGAGACTATTAGGTCTCTAATTGGTAAGCCAGTCTGTCTGCCTGTTCATTTCCCAACACTTCCGCACACCCAGGAAATATCCCAAGAGATTAAACAAAAAAAAGAGGTTATTATGATTCAGTTTCTTAAAAATAAAAAGGTGGGGGGGGGGGGGGGGGGTGGGGGCGGGGGTTAGCATATTTGCATAATCATCATCTTCGTGCTCAGCGGTATGAACAGCAACAATGTTGCGCATTGAACAGTTTGGAGGCAGCGGAGATGTAAATGCCGCGACGCACATTACGACTGATTGAAACTGATAGAGTAACTAACAACAGTTTCTAGGATGAGGCCGTCGAAAGTAAAACACCACGAATGCAACCGTAAAGTTTTCGTTAGCTATATAATCGGAGTGATAAATGTGGGAGTGCGAGCGCATCCACAACTTCATCCAACACAGAGCTACACTGAGACCAAAACATCCCCCCCCCCCCACAAAAAAAAGTGGCGGTGGAAGTTGAGAGGGAGAACAGAGACTACAGATTGGAGTCTGACAACATAAATTAGAGTTAAGGCAATGTTAATCTCCCCAAATAGAGTAGGTCACTTTTCATTCACAAGTTTGTTCGGCTTGTCGACTTTACTGAAGGTTACGGGTGTGTCCTGCTCTGTTGTCTGCTTTGTCTTGCATTTACGTTTTCATTCCGAAAAGATTAATGCCTGTGACATTGGTTGCAGCACTCTCTAAGGAGGTTGTTTTAGGGCCAGTTTCTGCATGTTGTTTGGAGTGTTCAAAGCGCTGGCGTGCTGAAATATACAACACGCGGTATGAACGGGATTGCGAAACATCCTTGTGTCAATGTGACAGGTTCAAAACTACTAATCAGAAGTAAGCTAGTGTGTATATGGGCGGGGCGTGGGTAGACTAACGTTACGTGATACCTACATTTACATAACAGGAAATAAACAACGTCTTCTTCTCAGCGTTCACCGGCTGTACTACGACGGAAAGTTCTAGTTGTTCATCTACTTCTGGACTTTGGTCCTGTTCCAGAACTTAAGTTTTTCCAGCACACCAGTTTGACTGATCTGGTTTATGTGTTTGCAGACTTTTGTTTACACGTCCCTCTCGCAGATGCACTGCGATTTCGACGGAAACTCGGCAAATGAGTTGCCAGGTACGCCATGCGTGTTTTGCAGGCAGTAGATCTACCTCCCCCTCCCCAAAGAATAGGGCACCGGAACCGACACAGGGAGAAGGAATAACCATTTTTAGGATTCAGACCGGGCACTGCAGTCTTAGAGCTCACCTACTCGAAAAATGCAGAACAGAATCTGCACATGTGAAGATGAGGATGAGGAGGAAGAAGAAGCCCATCACAGAATATAGTGGAGGAATAAACTCCAAGTTGAGTGTGACGTATAATGGCCCAACAGGGCGATGAAGATGATAAAACACAAACAACAGTAGCAGTTTTGTTTTCCAAAATGGCTTTATTCATAACACATTTTTGTAAAATACAATATTATTATTTTTTTACGACGACTCCGTCATATGCAAATTTGACTTACATGGATAGTTCTAATTATACTTTTATGAAATTGTATTATATTAAACGGAGGTATATCTTCTTATACAAGTGGTTCTCAATCTATGGGGGGGGGGGGGGGGAGTCGAACGACCCTTTCACAGGGGTCACATAAGACCACCCCCAAACGAATATTCATTGAAGTTATGCAGTAGCGACGAAAATAATTTTATAAAGAACTGCATTAAAGGGTCACGGCGTTAGGACCGTTGAGAACCTCTGTCTTATACGGATGTGAGAGTTTGTCTCTCATTGTGGAAACGGAAAAGGTGATTCAGGCTGTTGTTTATAAGAGCTAGACGAATTCTACGAACTAGCTTTTTACAACATGAAACTAATAAATATGTAAGAGACACAATTAACAGATTTGCAGGACATCCGGCACATTTCTTGGCAGTGGTGAAACATCGCGAGCTAGGTTGGTTCGGACACGTAGTGAGGCATGATTCGACTGCAAATACTGTACTTGAAGGGACAAGGAGAAGTAGTCGAAGAAGAGGTGGGCAAAGAAGAATTTCGAATGACAGCATCAAGAAATGGACAGGACTAAATTACTATACACTTGTTCAACCAGCGGAAAAGATAAAGATGGCGAATTTTGTGTGTTAGTGCTGTTCCATCTAGACACCTCCAAGACCATAACGGGTCAAGGGTTATGTTTGTTTTTAAACTGATATTTAAATTCAGAGGCAGGGATTTGTACTTGTGATTAAAAAAAAAAATTAGGGGCAGGGTGGGTGAACAGAAGTTAATTAAAATATCAATTAACTTTTTGTTTCCCTAGCCTGCGTTTCGATTAATGTCTAATACTGTTTTTTGTTCTCACCACTATCAGACCTCAGAGGCTGTCCAGCAACTGAGATTTGTATTACACACATTTAATAAATATACAGATGAGAGAATTTGCTCAAAATGTGAAGTTTAATATAAATATTTTAAATTATGTGAAATTCACGCCCTATGTGTTATGTAATAATTGCCCTCCAGGGGAAAGGGGGTGGGGATGCCATCCTACTGTGTTATATCAGGAAACAAAACAGTGGAGAAATTTGTTAGGAAAGTGGTGGAATGTGAACAAGAAGAGAATGCAGTTACATACTTTGAGAAGAAGAGGGCCATTCAGTCTATCAGAAGTGAACAGTCTGGTCGCAGATGACTACCACTTATTAGACTCACATGGGAAGATCATTATTCTATGCCTCAGATCCGGACATGACAAACTGAACAAGCATATGCACAAGCTTCGTCTAAGGCAGTGATTCCCAAACTACTGTGCGCCGTGGCGCCCCGGGAAGCCGCGACCTCTTCACAGGGGCGCCGCGAAATATTCGAAGATACACGAGTTACATTTTTTTTTCTATATCTTTCATACGAGTAGTCATAGCTTTACTTAGGTTAGGGCTATGTGGAAAAATTTTAATTGAAAAAAGGCGCCGCCACTGAGAAAAGTTTGGGAAACACTGGTCTAAGGAGTTCACCATTGTGCCCGTGTGGGCTGTGTGTGCAAACTACAGAACATGTCCTACAAGAACCTCCCTTGAACAGCCAAGTCTTCTTCTTCGCGTTCACCAACTGTAAACTCCAGCGGAAAGTACTGGGTATTCGTCCACCTCCAGACTTTAGTTTTATTCCAGAACCTGGGTGTTGCATGCACATCCGTCTTAAAGATATGCCTTATTTATATACAGACTGCTGGTTCCCTGTCTCTCAAGTAGAAGCACTCCGACTTCAAAGGAAGCGTATTATGCATTCTTACATCCCTTACGTCTTTCTTAGGACGTAATTTTTTGTTATTTGAAGCCCCTCTCTGGCTTTTGCCAGGGGCCGCAATATAGGCAGGCCATCAATATAGCCAATTGTCTGAACGCGGTTTCTGGGACCTCTCCACGGTGATCGTCATCCGCATGATGGCACTTTGTGTCATCGGGTGTTTATCGCTTGTGTGATGTCCTGGTGGGGTAGAAAGTCAGTCAGGAAGCGTACAGTTAAAAAAAAAGGGAATATTTGCCCATTGAGTTAACACTGTACTGAAAGTTGTATGGAACTATAAGAAAACTCTTAAAATAGTTAACTCTTTGAGTCCCTGGGTGTACAGCATCACAGGCCCAAGGGTAGTCAGGAGAGACATGAAATCGGTGCATCATGCGTTCACTGGGCTTCTAGGTAGGAACCTATGTTAAGTTTGTCACAAAAACTTATCTGTCGGTGTAAATGAGAAATCAACTTAAAAAAAAAAATTTTTTTGCAAATGACAACCATTTTTAACGCTTGTTGTTTCAATGTTCAATGCTTAAGTCTTAATATGCTGCTTGTTCATATTTTAAATAGGAGTTATCATTAAACGGTTACAAAGTAACCTATTGTCCAGTGTGGGTGGGTTATTTGATTGATTGGAGTACGAAATAACAGTTACACTGGAACACCTAAGCATACGAAGTAACACATAGTATAATATGGGATGTGTAAATACGTTTCTCTAAGCTGCTGCACGGTGTTGGCCACATGTCACACTTCTGGATACTCCATTTTACGTTCGAATAGCACACAAGCTGCAGGTTTCGGAAACGGAAACACGGAAGTACAATTGTTCTCAATGGCACTGATGCACCACCTGAAGTTGGCTGGCAGCTCGGCTGAAGGTGTTTGACGTCTGCTTGTCTCCTCACAGCAATGGCCGAACCTGAATCCGAACAAAAGCAAGACAGCGGGGAAGAGTCTGATGATGAAGAAGTGTTAGAAGAGAGTCCGTGTGGAAGATGGCAGAAAAGGAGAGAAGAGGTGAGCAGTTAGTTGTGAGATTGTTGTTTTGTGATGGCAGAGAATTTATTTATTTCACGTGAATGAAGGAATGAGAAACGACGATCTCCAATCTGGTTGGTATAATAAATGAAACAAATATGATAAAATAATTTTGATTAATTTAATTGAATAAGATTGTAAAATAGTTAGAAAATTAACTAAAATACATTTTAAATTGATAACTTCTTATAAATGACCGAGCAGGCTTGTAAAATTAGAAAGAAGCTTGGTTAAAGTCGTGACTGAAGAATATACTGTTACTGTTGTTATGATCTGTGTTACTGTCTATAGTATATAGGTTTCAGTTATACAAATATTGTTTACTGTTTGCTAGAAATCAACTACACTTGTAAAATACTAAATATATTGATGCACATATTATTGTAACAGTATTTCTTTAGTTATAAAAGTAGAAACAGGACCAGCAAAATTAAATCCAACACGTCTAACTCAGTTATTAAGTTATAAGAGGAGACATTTGTTATGTTAATATTATTGGCTATCCTCCAAGTAACGGGCACATATTATGGTGGTTGCAAAAAAAACCCTAACGGAGCCTCAGTCATGTGTCATTTGCGCACGTCCGGCGACCTAATTTGCGGTTTTTACGGCGACTACCTCCACCGCCGAGAGTATCCTCCATGCCGCGTGAGCGGCGCTAAATTAGATGGCTGGGACTGACAAGCAGCAGCTTTCGCATCTCCTGCAGCTTTGCTCGTGAGTCCTAGCCATCTAGTTTAGCCCCAATCCACGCCGCGTGAGTGGCCTGGGGGAAACTCTCGGGGGTGGCGGTAGTCGCAGGAAAACCTCAAATTAGGTCGCCAAAAGTGCACAATCGACACGTAATTGAGGCCCTGTTTTTTGGCCGCCATAATATTTGCCCATTTTTCGGAGGATAGCCATATTATTTTTAGCTCTTTCAGTCCCAGACATGGGTTTCTTCAACTCCTAACCTCCTAAGCAGTAGTTGGCTAACATAATTGTGTATGGGTCTGAAAAGGTTCAAATTAATAACCATATTGTGAAAACTCCACCACCAGTTGTTAGTCTGAGGTTGTGAAAAGAAAGCATAAAATGAAATACCTGGGGATACAGTTTGATTGAAACCTTGCTTATTCTGTGCACATAGATCAGATTTTAATGAAAGCCAAACAGGGTCTGGCTGCGATGAGAGTGATGGCGGCGGCAAACTGTGAGCAGCGTCATCTGTTTCTTCTATACCAGGGTCTGGTCATTTCTGTTTTTGAATACGTGATGGTGATCCTCACTCTCAGCCATAAGCAGATGGAAAGGATACAGAACGAGGCTATGCGCATTATACTTGGGTGTACAAGAGATACAACATGCAGGGCGGTGCGCTACCTTCTCGATTTTCCAACAATGGAAGACAGAATACAAATTTCTTGAGCACGTGCCTACCTCACAGTCAAGGCGGACACACAACATTCATTACATAGTCAAATTAAGAAGACAAAAGGCAGCAGGTTAAAAAAAGGCAAATTGTGAATGGGTCAAGCCGAGGACATTATTTTACAGGTATGTTCACCTGAGGAGGAGTGGGTGCAAGTGCTTTCAGAGCGCTGTACATCCTTTTCTGTTTGCATCCAACTAGACTGAAAATGCAGACAACAGAGTCCGGCTGCTGTGGAAGCAGACGTTCAAGCCTTGATTTTTGAGAGCGCTCTAGAGGGTGATGCTGTCATTTACACAAATGGTTCTGTAATCCGCCATGTTAGAAGCTCGTGGGTTTTCATGGCTCAGGTTGGAGGGAGAGTTGTAAAGAAAGATTCTGGAGTTTTTGCCATAACTGCGAGTTGTCTGACTATAGAGCATGGCTGTGACTAAAACAGTAACATGGCTAGAGACACAGACTTTCACTGGGGCATGCTTTCTCAGTGACTCTATGAGTATGCTGAGAAAGATAGAGAAGGGCTGGGTCCGAAGGCAGTGGTTGGTGGCTCTACAGAATTCAAGGCTGACATTAGATTAGTTTTCATTATCGTGCCTGGACATGTGGGGGTTCAAGGAAACGAGCTAGCTGATAGGCTTGCAGGTGAGGCTACTGTGAAAGCTGGACAAGCCATGGACCAGGCTGATATACAGAATGCTCTAAGAGAGTTAAGACGTTTGCGTGAACCAACTGAGAACTGTGAATGTGTTACCAAGGTCAGACTGCAAGAATGACAAGTTAAACAGGGTGCTGCCAAACAAGGACACTATGCGGGTAGCCAAAAAAGAATAATAAATCAACACAGAACTGGTGTTGTTAGCTGCTACACGCTGCAGGATTTACTGAGGAGGGGATCCGAGCACTTATGGACTGAGTAGTTCGATGTGCAATGACTGTCGACTAACTAACTAACTAAAGGTTCAAATTATCACACCATGGGACAGAAGGAACTGAAGTAACAGTTAGGACAGAATAAGTTAAAGCTAATGCTTGGGAGGGGACAGTGTAATCAGATAGGCATAGCATGTTAGATAACTCCAATAAACGTGTGTTGAGTTGCCTGGTACTGAAGAGTTAATTATTATTTATTGTTTGTTCAATATAATTAAAACAGTAAATGGGACTCTTGAGACACATTCTGCAATTGGATTGCAAAAGATTGTGTTGCCAGTGCATATCACTATCTATGTTGTATCTATAGATGGAAAACTGCGGTGCAGCCCGGGCAAGAATGTCTCACTTAGAAATTGATAAGCATGATTAAATAACTACTGTATTCATCTACTGCAAAACACATTTAAAAAAAAAACTGAATTAAATTTAAGAACAGCCTATTACATAATAGTATTCATTTTGCCCAAAGGTGCATTGATAAAGGATTTAATTTTAGTTTAAACTAATTATTTAAATATTTTTCTTCTTAAAGTCCATTCCGTGTGGTGTTGGTAGTGATGTGATGTCTGTCCACAATCTCATGTACTTTCAGTCAAATCTAACAAGACAATCCTTCATGCCATGATGTTAAACCATCCAGCATCTTTTCTCTCAGTCTCTCCTCCACTACAACTTTCTAGCTGTCACGATGTACTCATTTTCTCCTTCTCGTGACATGACCAAACAATGTAGATCTTCTAAAGTGAGCAGCCAGTTCTGTTCGTGAGTCAGTTTCCTTCAAGACTTCTTCATTACTCTTTTTATCTGTCCAGGGCATTCTCATCATTCGTCTCTAAAACCACATCTCAGCAGCTTCCAAATAATTTTTGCTAAATGACCAGCTTTCCCTGATTCTCTTTCATATATCAGGATAGGATTTATATAGCTTTTAAGAATTCTCTTTCACTTTATATATATTACTTTTTACATATCTAAATAATGTTAAAAAAAAAAAAAACCCAGCATTAGTCATCCTTAAAAGCTATTTTTATGACTAACATAAACACTGATGCTATTATTTGTGAAAATGCATTGTACCATCTGAGAATTGAATAAATATAAATTTTGTGTGTGTTACACCATCGGCTGATGAATCAGTTCTCGTTATGCCTAGTGGCACATGAGGCTTCAGAGAGGACTTTCCATGCTTTCCTGTCCTGTGCAATCTTCAGTGCAGTTTTCCATGTCAAAGATGCCGCACTCAGGTCACTTTCTATCGTTCATCTCCATGTTGTTTTTGGGCGCCCCTGTTTTCTCTTTCCCTCTGGTGTCCATGTGAGAGCTGTTTTGGCGGGTATATCAGGATTCATTCTCATAACGTGGCCAAGCCATTTCCATCTTCTCTTGGTTATCATACTGTGTAAAGTTTCTTGGTTTGTGACTTGAAGTAGTTTAGTGTTTGAAATTGTATCTGGCCAGAAAATTTGGATAATTCTATGTAGACATGTGTGGTGAAAGGTGGACAGCTTGTGTGCATCCTTTTTGGTCATTCTCCAGCATTCCGCTCCATAAAGAAGAACTGGGAAAATGATACTCTTGTAGAGTTCCTCTGCAATAAATGTTGGATTTCCAGATTTGCTTCATCCTTCCAAAAGCAGCTCTAGCTTTGTTCAGACGTGACTGTATGTCCTCTTCGGTCCCTCCTGGCAGGAACGCCAAAGTAGTATTATACACGTAAAAGCATAATTTAATTAAAAAAATTTTTAATGACTGTGAAAACACTCAGTAGTATGAGAAACTGAAAACAACACACACTAGTGAAAACAGACAGAAAATGGTAACTGTAAAGGCGTGCTTCTACAGCATCTCCACCTCTAAGATGAAACGATACTTTCTACCCCCGCAAGGTGAAGGAGCAATGCTAGCAGGAGCATTCCTTTTGGAATTCTAATCATGACAGGGAGGTCAAATAATAGGAACACAGATTAACCATTCTGCCCTGGAAACTCTATAATATGGCAATATGGGTCATGAACCCGTGGAAATGGCTGGTGAATGACGTAAGAAATTTAAAATGAATCTTTTTAACAGTTCTGTAACTGAACTGTAGCTTTACAGTAATGATTTTGTGACAACACTTTGGTGGCTGTTGTGGTTGTAATTGTTTACAGTTCCAAGGAATCATTTGCTTTACACCCACATATGACAGCAAGTAACTTTATAAGTCTCAGAATGTCTGTTTTTATAAAGTTGAACAGGTTTTCTTGAATTGGTTACTTTTGAATTCAAGAATAAACCCATGCCCCCCACCCCCCTCGACAAGTATGTTGCAGAAGGCGACTGATTAGGAATATTTCCTTTGAAGTCGTGGTGCATCTGCCTGAGAGGTTAGGAACCAACTTATGCTTACAAAAAATCAAAATCTATCAAATGCAATCAAAATTCAAGTTTTGGAGTGTGACTGAAAGTCCAGAAGTGGACAAACTACTAGAACTATCTGCTGGAGCTTATAGATGGTGAACGGGAAGAAGAAGGAGAAGTATTAATATTCCCAAAAATGGTTCGTTAAAATCACTGGCTGTCAATCTCTTCAGGCTACACTCTTGAGTGGAAAATACAAATACACCGGTTGTCACTAAAATGTATAATGTCCCCTTGAGCAATATCAGTATTGTAATGCATTGTTCACCTTGAATATACTGCTCTTTACTAGGTTGATCAGAGAGATGTGCCAGGTATTGACAGTGCCTTCCTGGCAATGGACACAGAGGAAGGAGTGGAAGTTGTGTGGAATGAAGTACGGTTCTCGGAGAAAAGGGATTTTCGGGCACAGCAGGTGAGAAGTCAGTTTTGTAGACTTTACTTTTTCAGTATTATGTTGCACAAGATCGCTTTAATCAGTCATGTGCTGTCTTGGAACAAAGGTCTGCTGCAAGAAATTGTAAGCAGTGGACAATGAAGTCAGCTGCAGTATAAGGCTGAAATGCATTAGAAGCACAGTACTCCTTTTATGTAGGTAATTGAAATCCCAGGACTGCAGGCTGCTTCCTGCTGGCTTATAAGGCATAGCCCATAATAATCAAGAAGCCTAATATATGGAACACTTTGAGACATACACAGGAGTAGATTGAAGCATTCATTTGCAAATGATATTCTTACATATAGGCATGGGAGTGATAGACATCAGACAGCACAAGAGCTACAGGCAACTGTAGACAAAGTGACTGACCCGAGTGCAGAAATGGGTGTTTTCATCAACTCAGTAAAGGTGGCTGTTTGATTGTGCTTTCTGGCCAATAGAATTGTAAGAGCTAATATTCCAAGCCTGATAGTTAATGATAGAAACATCAAGAGAGAAAACAAACTGAAGTACCCGGGTATCATTTTCGATAGAAGCCTGTCCTTCAGGGATCATATGAAGATAATTGCAGAAAAATGCCAAAAAGTACTCAATGCTTTCAAGATTATGGCAGCAGTGGACTTGAAACAAAGAATGCTGTTCATGATGTTCTAGCATGTGATCCTGTCAGAAATAGATTACGGACTTGGAATGCTTACCATATCAAAGAGTCAGCTGATGAAACTTGAACAGGTAGACAAGCCGGTTCTGCACCACTTGTGGGTAATTGATGTATGTCAAGCTAGATATTGTGATGGCTCATTTGGAGCAAGTGAATAGTGTGGAGGCACAAATAGATAATTATGATCTGAGAAAAATGGCACCGCAAGGAGTTACCAGGGGGTCTGGCTGACGCTTAAAACTCAAGGAAAAAGCGAGATGAATGTACAGTCAGACAGTTTATGGTACCCTCGGAATTGGAACTCTTCGTTTGCTGCTGAAGATGGGGGATGGAGCACTTATGGGAATGTCCTGAGTGATGTGATGTCGATTCTTAATTCAACTTTCAACTTGCTGTGCATTTATAGAAGTCTACTTGGATGGTGGAGAGTGTTTATGTTGTGCCCTTTCTTTTTGAGGACTGACTTCGCTGCTCTGGACCGACCTGATGAGGGACATGACACCACCTGTGTACTAGAAGACAAAGATGACCAATGCATACAAATAAGCCAGATCTGTAAAATGTATGTGCACGCAAAACTCCCATTCTGGAACAAGACCAAAGTACAGATGTGGATGGATAGTACAACTTTCTGCTGAAGTTTACAGCCAGTGAACTAGAAGAAGAAGAAGAAGCTATTAAAAGTATCAGAAAGAAAAAGCTGTAAGTAGAAGTGACGACCGATACCACACATTCATTAATTCCTTCATTGTTCTACTGTGCCATTATATATCATATAGGGCTCACAGTCTTATTTCTCCATTCCATTCTATCCTGTGCAATTACTTCAATATCATTGATGGAATCCACTCCAGCACCTTTGGCATCTCTCATCAGTGTTCACTTTAGGGTTTCTTTTGGACGTCCTAGTTTCCTCAACCCTCTCTTTCCCATTTCATTGCCTGTTTGGTGATTCTCTTTTCATCTCTTCTCACAACTTGTCCAGTAAAGTGTCATCTTCTCTATCTTGTAACTGTCGTTACCAGTAGTTTTCCAGATATTTCTCCACTCTTCTTGATTTCATCCCATTTTATGTTCATCATTTCCTTAGGCATTTTTTTTTGAGTGCATTTAATTTCTGTTCCAGGTTTTTATTATACCACAGCAATACCACATAACATAAACAGTAATAAGAACAGTAAAAAGAACTTGAAATTTGAATATTAGTCTATGCATGTATTGATTATCTTGACAGTTTAATATTAGACCAGTTTGCCTTAACTTTTTTCAGTGACTTCATTTGTATTTTGCAGGACAAAATCCGACAAGTGTTTGATAACCTGTGTCAACTTGACCACCCTAATATTATCAAATTCCACAAGTATTGGACAGATACAAAAGCAGACAAACCAAGGGTAGGTCATTTGTATTATTTTTTATCAGTTATAGTTTGAGACTTGGAGCACAACTAAAAGAGGTGAAGCCTTATAAGCCTTATTACAGGTTTTCGAAAACGGGGTGTTACGACAAATCTTTTGGACCCATCAAAGATGCAAACAGCAGTGAATGGAGAGTGAGAAGCAACAACAAAATTCATAATCTGTTTAAATCACCGCTGACGCTGGCATCATGAGAGCTAATAGACTGAAATGGTTGGGACATATTGAAAGAATGTCAGATGACAGAGAAGTAAAAACTGTATACACCAGGGAGATGAATGGTCGTAGACCACGAGGGAGACCAAGAAGACGATGGAGAGATAATATCCCAACAGACCTGCAAACACTTGGTGTCACCAACTGGAAAGAGAAGGCCAACCAGAGAGATGAATGGAGGTGGGTGATATCTGCAGCAATGAACCTCAGGGGCTCGGAACGCTAAGAAGAAGAAGAAGAAAGATAGTTTGTGAATTTCATATCATGTCAGAATGTAATCCATGGTAGTACAGATTTACATCGCCACCCTACTGCTTTTTTACTTCAGTTTAAAGATAATATGTCAGCTCAACCCTGGTAGTTTTTTTCCTTCTGGTCGCTTTCTTTACACTTTTGACAAGTTTCTTGTGATAAACTGGACAGTTTTTCGGAGTTCCCTTTGAGTTCCGTACAACTTTGAGTATATTGTTGACTCGGTAAAAGGTGACAGATTAGAGGTTTGCTGAAATCGGATGTGTTGGGTTGAAAGATACAGTTATCACAGCCTAGCTGTATACCACAACATGGATCAGCAGCTCTTTTGGGGGTGACAGCAGCAGAAGAAGAAGCAAAAGCTACAGCCACTGGTTACTGACTCAAGGAGCCTCTAAGAAATGCAACTAATGCAGTGGTTAAATTCCTCTTTTTTGTTATAAACAGGACAAAGGGCAATTCTCTGTCTGTGTATATATAAAAAAAATTAGTAGTACCCGTTATGTTGGGTCTTATGTATTTCACCTTTATACTTGTATGAAGATTACATAGAATATCTTCCATGGTTTATGCCATGTGGCATTGGTAGTCTATCCACTATCTTCTTGTATACTTGTCAATCAGTTCTGACACTAATGGTCTTCAAAAGTCCATGCTGTGTAGCGTTGGTAGTCACGTCTGTCCTCAACCTTTTGTCTTGTATGCTTTCAATCAATTCTGACACAGAAGATCTTCCACAGTAACATAAATGCTGTTTAGGGCTGATAGTCATGTTTCTCCACAACCTTCTGTCTCATATACTTTCAGTCAGTTCTGACACACATTATCTTCCATAGGCCATGCTATGTGGTGTTGGTATTCATGTCTGTCCACAGTCTTCTGTCTTGTATATTTTCCATCAGTTCTGACACAGTTCTCTCTTTTAAAAAAAAAAAAAAAAAAAAAAAAAAACAACAAACACAAAAAAAAAAAAATTTTTCAGCGTCACAATACACTCATTTTCTCATGACATGACCAAAGAATGTAGATAGTCTCCTAAATGTGGGCAGTCAGTTCTCATCATGTCAGTTTCTTTAAAGACATCTTGAATACTCTCATACGACTCTCAGAGAAAAAACACAACTGGTTTATTGTAAATTAATGAATTGAAAGAGTTGACTTTAGCAGTCATGTTTTATATTAATTTTTGTGTAGCGGTTTAAAGAAATCCACTTTTTTGAAAAAATATGTTTCTCATATTTTTAATTCACCCATGCTTTTGGTGTGTTTCTTTGTAGGTCATATTTATATCTGAATACATGTCTTCTGGAAACCTGAAACAGTTTTTGAAGAAAACCAAAAAAAACAATAAGACATTCCAGTTAAAGGTAAGTGCATACCCTAAAACTGATGTTGCTTAATGCTCATCTATCGGTCCATAGGTCAAAGGTTCAAATCTGCACTGAGATGGGTTACAAGTCAATGTAGCCTAAAATGGGGCATTAGGTAATGTCCTGGAAAGTAAAGGTGGCTGGCATGATGTGTCATCCATCAAGTGCCGATTGGTCTATACAAATCAGGGTCTAGCAATAAATGCCAATTGTGTCAAGGGCATGAAAAGAGCCATTTTTATGTAATTTTTTAAAACCTACACTTAAGCTTTATTGTTTACCAAGGTTTTTATTACTGATGATAACCTTTCACCCTGAGAAGCTGCGAATACAGCACTCGCTCAATCCCATAAATGGTAAATTAATATCAGTGGTTGTTTGTTCCTCCACACTGTTTAGAAGGCCAGGATATAAATAAATTTACTAAAAATAGCATGGGGGTGGGGGGGTGTTCCTTGTGTGTGTGTGTATGTATGTAAGTCATACCCCACCGGGACATCACACAAGCGACAAACATCCGGTGACACAAAGTGGCACCATGCAGATGAGGATCACCCGTGGAGAGGTCATGGAAACCCTGTTAGGTCATATTTCAGGCCCGGCTATATTTAAGGCCCCTGACAAAAGCCAGGGTGGGGCTTCAGAATAACTAAAATTTGCATCTCACAAGTGGATGACAAGAAACATGTTCCTTGTGAATAAAGTGTCTATTGTAAAGGTATTTTGAGGTTGTAATTTGCCCATAGCCTTAGCATTAGAATTCAGACAAGGTCATGGTTATGAGTTCTCTGATAGAGGGGAAATGAAATCTGGTTTTCTTCACTCTGTTTATGTTTATTGATCACAGTCCTTTTATTTTCTGAACCAATTGAAAAAAATATGAATATAAATATAACAGTAAAGTTAAAAATGATTTTGTTGTTGTTGATCTGAGTAAAAAATTATTGTTTATTCGAGGTTTTTTTTTACCTCTGGCAATTCATAGGGATGCATGTTTTTTTTAAGAGTGTTTATGAGGCAAACTGGATTATTAAGTTTCTAAACTAAACTTGATTTCTTTATTTAAAAAAAAAAAAAAATTTATCAGACTTCCCTGTTGCCCACAGACTAGTAATATCTGCCTTTTAAATGTAAAGTTGTATAATCCTATATAATCTAAATAAAATGTTATAGTGTAGTCATTTGTTCACCATAAAAGACGATTATTCATCATCCAGTCATATTAAGTGGTTATGAGTATAAAAGTGACAAAAGAGACGCAGTGAGTCCAGAAACTTCTTAGGAAACTGTGAACAGCAGATGGTAGACAAACTGATAAAACGTTTTGCCACACAAAAGTTTCTAGCTTGTCACTGTTGCCTTTCCATGGCTGTCTCTGGGTCTCACGGGATTGCTGCTCCAAGTTAATGAAGTGTATCCCATCTGGACAGGTCATGGGCAACAGCTTCCAGTCTGTTTGTGTTGTTGTAAAAGGAGCAAAATTAGGGATGTCCATTTAGTATTTTCTAGTGAAGTAACAAGCTAAACAACAGTTTGCCGTTTGTGGTAGCAGAAATTTGCATTAACATTTTATATGAGAAATGATACATCCCTGCTGTGCCAGAATGTTGTTTATGTGAGCCGATTGTTCTTAAGCAAGTTCACATTAACAAGGGTTTATTTTAGTTATTTGTAAGGAAGCATGTTGGGAGTAGTTTGTATGACAGTGATTCAAGATTGGACGACATGATAAAGTGTTTACTCAAATGATGATTACCAGCATTTATTTATAATTGTTCTCTCCTTTGATATAGGCATGGAAACGATGGTGCACTCAGATTTTGTCAGCATTAAGGTAAACTGAAATTAAAATTTCTTCATTTCATTTTGTTTAAAAGAAAATACTTTAGGCGTGATGTTGCGGATAATGAAATTAATAAAAGTATAATTTTTTTAATATCACTAGCATCATGAGAGCTAACAGACTGAAATGGTTGGGGCATACTGAGAGAATGTCAGATGACAGAGAAGTTAAAAACTGTATACACAAGGGAGATGAATGGTCATAGACCACGAGGCAGACCAAGAAGTTGATGGGAAAACGTCCAGACAGACCTACAAACACTTGGTATCACCAATTGGACAGAGAAGGCCAACCAGAGAGAGGAACTGAGGCGGATTATATCTGTAGCAATGAACCTCAAGGGCTCGGAATGCTGAAGAAAAAGAAGAAGATAATTTTGTAAATATAATATACCAGGAATCAGAGGTATTATCATAATATAAACAAGTTAGTTAGGCTAAGGACACTTGTCTTCATAGCAACAGGTTGGAAGCAGCTGCAGAAGATGTTGGATATCTGGTTGTAGAATGTAGTTAGCGGCCCTAATAGAGCAGTGAAGCACAATACAAAACTCTTAGTATCTCTTATCCTCTCTTACTCAAATCTACTTCTCATGTGGACTCTGTTCTCCCCAGTAATCCAGTGGGAGGTTGGTGTTTCACCTCCTGTGTGGGGGAACAGCAAGCAAACTAAAGGTGAAATCCAGTTCTTTGGCCATCTACTGAGTTAAATGCATGATCTGCAAAAATTGTAGTGCTGTCCAGTCAGCTGACGACAATTAATCCACCATTTATAAGTGTCAAACAGCAGATTCGTCACCGAGCATTGGTTCTATACATATAGGCTGCTGGAGACTTGCTGATGACAACGCTTAGTAATGTCTTATGTATACAGTGAAGAGACTTGGCACTTTTGAGCTGCTCTAAGAGAACCCTCTCTCAGTTTTACTGACCAAAAAAGGTTGTCTGTTTAAACCAGGATTATTTAACTTGCGGCCCTCCGGCCAAGTCTGGCCTGCTAAGGCCTAGCTAGTGACCTGTGGATCATTGTTAGTTGTATTGTATTGATGATCTTTCTGTTTTGAGGCTCGAGCCTCTGGCCCATGCCAATCCCTATTTTAAACATTTTGGCCCCTGAGCAAAACTAGCTGAATAGCCCTGATTTAAACCCTTGCCAACCGTTAGTATAAAAACTATTTTATTCAGAAATACATGTAGTGCTTATAAAAGTTTAAGCTCAGGCTCTGCTTTCACACAGTGTTGAAAGTATGGGAAAGGTAATATTAAAACAAAACCCAAGAATACAATTTAAATAATGTTAAGGAGAGGGATGGATGAATCTAACTGGTTATAACATATTTGGTTTGTTCATCTTTAAAACACAGCAACAATATTTGTCTTTTTAATGACATTGGAATAGGTACAGAGGGTTTATACAAATTTTGCATTCTCTGTCTCTCTTTCTCTCTCTCTCTATGTGTGTGTGTGTGCGCGCTACCATATTTATATTGAAGGTCCTCAACTGAGCCCGAGACTGCTAGGGCCCAGTTTGACCGAAGCAGCTACTCTCCTCTCTTGTTCTTCTTCTTCTTTACTTCTGGAATGCTTTGCAGTGTCACGGGGAAGAAGAGATCTCCGGAACGGGCCCTTTTGTTTGCTTCATGTATATTACTTTTCAGTGTCACTGCTGTTTTCTACGGTCCACCTCGTGCGTTGGCGACCTATGGCTTGGTTACCATTGTATTCCCCCCTTCCACCCTCGGATAATCCCATCGCTGCCCAAAGGTGGGTAGTGCCCACTTTGGGAAACACTAGTGCTGAGTGTTGACCAGATTTCCTGGACAACCCCTGTCACACCATTCTCTCCAGAGCGTGGTGATCTATTAGAGTTTAGTTGGTTCAAGAACCAAAATCACAGCACTGATTCCCTATTAGAGCGTGGTGAGAGTTTAGTTGGTTCAAGAACCAAAATCACAGCACTCAGGGCATTCTCATGAGCACTCCATCTCCATCTTCAGCAGCCAGTGAAGAGTTCTGATACTGATGGTGACAGTAGCATTCTGATTAAATGTTCGTCTATTTGTGATCTCTTTGTGGTTCTGCATTGTTAACTTGCTCTCATAGGGCGGCTTGACCGCTTCTTGTATTGATGAGATTTTTAAATTTAAAAAGGTTATATTTTTGTATGAAACTAAAGGAGTCAATGACATATTACTTCTTGTTACTTCGTTAAGGTTCATTCTAATTGTCTGTCATTCATGTACATTTTAAAAATATTGTTTAAGTCTCACTCATTTATTTCATTGTGTTTTCAGTTACCTCCACTCTTGTGATCCTCCCATAATTCATGGCAACCTCACATCTGACACAATCTACATCCAGCATAACGGTCTTATTAAAATAGGTTCAGGTAGGTTGCTATCTTAAAGTGCTACACCAAGGGACACCTTGACTCCTTATTGTAATATTTGTTGCAGTTTTAACTTACCATGTTTTTTGTTTTCTTCTACATATTTTTTTTTACAGTGGATTGCAGCTGGGTCATGTAATTAAACTGTATTTGTACAGTAAAAAACATTGTCGCAATTTCCAAGCGGTCGAAAATCGAGTCCATGTTAAAATAAATTAATGCTTACCAGAGACTGATAACAATAATCAGTCCCTGGTTAGCAAAACAGTTTTCTTTAAACACAAACTCAATTTGTGGTCCCTTAGAATTTGTATTAAATAGGTTTCTCTCACTCTCTCTCTATCTCTCTCCCTCTCTCTTTTTCTCTGAAAAGTTATTTCTTCTTACGTTTTAGCCTACTGTATTATCTGTTAGCCTTGAACACTGCAATTTACTGCATTATCGTTCCATCTTAAAGCCTGTGATGTACTGCATTGTCTTTGTCTTGTACACCATACTGTACTTTATTATCATTCACTAGAACCTTTAACGATGTCTGGCTCAAATATAGCGTAATTTGGCTTTCATTCATACTTACTCACCTGTGACAGGGGCTAGTCTATGTTAGAGGCGTGTCACGTTGCCTTGTCTCCCGTGCTGTCAGTGGCCATGTCGAGTGTTCTACACTACGCGACGACACCGCTTTTAACTACCCTGGAACATCTGGAACTGGCCCTAACCTCAACCCTCTACAAAATAACCTCAGCTTAGGTCCCAACCGCTTTTAACGACCCCGGAACATCTAGAATTGGCCCTAACCCCAACCCACTACCAGACAGCCTCAGCCTAGGTCCTACGAGAGGGCCAGGGTCTGTCCCACGGTTTCACAATTGCTAACATTTTCCGCTACTTATAATAAATATTTATAATATAATTAACTCATATTTTCATTTTTGAATATGTTATTTTCTATCCACCATGTAATCTTAAGTCTACATTACCATCAAAATATTTTTTCTGACAGTTTTGTTTTAAATCTACCATGTCAATTTTAGTTTAGGTTAACCATTAAATAACTCATATTTGACTGTTTTAATATGTTTTATTCTTATCTCACCATGTAATCTTAAGTCTCTGTTAGTATCATATTTTTCATTTCTGATTGTTTACAATTACAATTTTTTTTTTTTAAACTATGTAATCTGTAGTCACACAACTCATTATTTTTGGCTGTTTCAAAAGGTTTTATTTTCTATCCCGTCATGTAATTTATTTTTCTATATTACCAAATTATTCACTTTTAACTGTTTATTTTGGGTCTCACCGTAAAATTTTCATGGTAGGTGAGGATCACCAAAGTATTCATTAGTGATCAACTCTTTCAGTCCCACAAGGTGTAGCATCAGAGGCCCAAGGGATAACCAGAAGATATATGTAAAATCGGCACATCCTGCCTTCACTGGGATTCTATGTAGGAACTAATGAATGCATGATGCATCCCTTGGGACTGAAAGAGTTAAAAAAAATTTTTTATTTTCTTTTTTATAAAATGGAAAACAAAAATATATCAAACTGATTCTGATGTGAGTCCATTTTTTTTGTCTAAACCAATATGAACCTCAGGAAATTGTAGTAAGTGTTCCGTGTTTTACTGAAATCGTCTTGTCACCCAGCTTGTATGCTTTGTTATTCACTGATATTTTCCAGGACATAAGTTATCACAAGCCAGATGTGTCTCATTTAGTCCAGCAACTGGATGACTCACTTATCATGCAATTGATTTTGTCTGAATTTTATTTTTGCCATTTGCAGTTGAAGCAATGATTTGAAAAAAAAAAATGAGTAAAGCAAGGAAAAAATATCACCTGAGAGATCATTTGTGGCCTGTGTTTGCATAGTTTCACTTAGTTTTTCTGTAGCTGCAGTATCGTGTACCTAATTATGTCTGGGGCACACATTATATTTGAAAAGGTTTGGTTTAGTTTATTCAACGGATCAACATCGCGGCACATGGGTGTAACCCATAAGAGCTTTGTTTTACTTCTTACTAAAGTCTGAGTCTGAAGAATCTTAGCACAGTGCACGAACTCTATTGCACCGGCAAGGATCCTGAAATACTTTGGGTCGATTTTTAACTCCAAATTATGCCCAGGCAACGTTGTAAGGCTACTCTTTTTTTTAATTTCCAACTGCCAATGGATTTTTTATGTGAGCAACAATCCACACAGGTGTCTTATCTATCTTGTCAGAGACCAGGGGAAATTAGTCTACGTAAAAAAATCCCAGTCTTTACCGGGGTTTTAACCCGGGGCTCCAGCACTCAAGGCAGACGCCATACAAGAAGACCACATTCCCCACATATATATATATATTTTTAAAGAAGAGAGGTGACACAGATGAGTTAATCTATCATATGAGTTAATCTGTCGCAAGCAAGAGAAGTATGTTTTAAACATAAACAAACAAACAGGAGGGCATTGCTTGCTTATTTGAACTAGAATTAAAGTTTGTCATTAGGTTGGTTAATAGGTATGTTAAGACATTAAAAAGATATTTACAAAAAAAAAAAAAAAATAGTAATACCACTTGGATTGTAATATCTTTGGGGGGTAATTTATGTGTGCCAGATGAATATATTGTTGGTTGGCTTAACTTCTTCTTATAGGGTCCATGCTGTGTGATGTTAGTAGTCATGTCTATTCACAACCTTGTCTCATGTACTTTTAATCAGTTCTGACACAGATGATCTTCCATAGTCCATGCTGTTTGTTGTTGGTAGTTAGTTATCCACAGTCTTCTGTCTCATGTTTTTTTTAATCAGTTCTGACACAGATGATCTTCCATAGCCCATGCTGTTTGGTGTTGGTAGTTAGTATATCCACAGCCTTCTGTCTCATGTTTTTTTTAATCAGTTCTGACACAGGTGATCTTCCATAGTCCATGCTGTTAGGTGTTTGTAGTTAGTATATCCACAGCCTTTTGTCTCATGTTTTTTTTAATCAGTTCTGACACAGGTGATCTTCCCTGCCATGATCTGAGACTATTCAGCATCATCTGTCTCGATCTCCCTCTGCCTCTCCTCCCCTCCAACTTTCCAAACATCCCGATGTACTCCAGTTTTTCTCCTTCTCATGACATGACCAAAGATTGTAGATAGTCTACTTCTAATGTGGGCTGTCAGTTCTCTTCAAGACATCTTCATTACTCTTTTTTATCTATCCTCTTTGACATATTCATGGCATTGTGGTGCTGGGGTGTCTGTGGATTACCTACCTCCCCGGGCAGCAGCTAGAAATGCCCTGTACCAGTTCTTAAGGAAATATGGGTTGTGTTTCTGCCTTCCCCTTTAACACGTAGCTAAGGTGGGGCTCACAGTGTGCTCATTCCCCGCCACCAGATTGCCTGCAGGTTTCGTTGAGCTCTTCATGGCCTAAGCATGAGTATTTGGGGCAACTGGATCTTCACGTAAGAGAGGTTTTGCTAGGTCAAGAGGCTGACACCACAATGGACGCTCCTTTCGTGAACAGATATTCATTAGACCTAGGGTGAAGTAAGGGGGGGGGGGGGAACCCACTACCCACAACACTAACACTTTTTACCCCCTGCCTCTCGAGGCTCAGTCCCAAAGAAATGAGCAACACAAGAACAACCACCTACAGCGACAACCCTCCAGACAGCAAAAAAAACCTGATAAGAGCTATAAACAAAGAGACTTGGTTGAACAGATAGGCCATGGGAGACACTGGAAGAGAGGTTAATAGATATATGTCTGGCCCTGATCCTAATGACAGCATTAACCATCTAACAAGAAGGGACCATGCCACCATCTTCAGATTTAGAACGCAACATACTCCACTCAATGGACACCTAAACAGAATACAGCCACAACACTCCCCCAGAGTGCCAGCTATGTAACTACCCCTACGAAACTGTTGAACACCATCTCTTTGAGTGCCCAAAACTCAGTGAGACAAGAAGAACGCTACTCCCTCCGAGACCAGACAAGTGGAACACCTTGTACGGAGGAAAAGAACCGCTTGTGAAAACATGCAAATTCCACTACATGGCATTGGGCCAAAGGGCGAAAGCTCATGCACCGCTGGATCGATAACAACAACAACAACAATCTATCCTCTTTGTGTGTTCTCCTCTTTCTTTTGTAAAACCACATCTCTGTCGCTTCCAGATAAGTTTTCACTAATTGTCCTGTCCAGCTATCCTTGATTTATGTTCATATACCGGGAAGGGATTTATATAGCTTTAAGCTGTATGGTTGAACTAAGTTAAGTTAAAGTCGAGAGAATTGACTTCATTGCGCCGAATTTCATGCAGTATAGCTGTGTCTCCATCAGCAGAATGGCTAGCCACCTGGCAAGAGCATCACACAAAGTGCGAAAGCTGTAGCTCCAGCAACGTACTCAATGGGGCTTCATAAAAATTCCGCTCCCGAACCAATTGAGGCAGGAGTGAAATGGACTCACAACCATCAGAGCATGAGGCAAACAGCTTAACCAGCCGATTTAACAATAAATGTTTAAGCATCAAATCTTCTCTCTAAAAATGTTAAGTTAAAAAAAAAATATGGATAACATCTGGCTTGTCTATTTGTCCAAATAAAAATTTTCATTTTATTTGTAAATGTTTTTCATGTCAGTTTTATCTGTATATTTTGTCAAGTAGCAACTAAAAGTTGATCAGTGAATGGAAGCATTGTAACTCTTTTGTAACATGGAATGTTTGTCTGTGTGTATTTTTGTGCTTGTAATGGTTTGCAGAACATACCTGTGCCTCTTGCTTCTAGAATTTGAGGTTTACAGATACTGAAAAGTTATAGTAAAAAGTGTAGTGGTGGTTAAACATAATACATTTTTAAGTAAGTAAGAGAAACTAAAACAGCTACTATTAAACTACCAACATTCATTAACTGGTGCCCGCACAGAATAGAGGGAATTTAATGATGTGATAGAATCACTAAAGTTGAGCTTTGGGGGAGAACTAAACACAGTCCAGTGAATCAGGAG